TCGCTGCAGACTACTCCGAAACACGGTATAGGTACGCTGGTTTTATTCATAAAACAGACAACGTCCAACGATATTCTGCCATTATCACCATCGTCTAACCAGAGCCCAGTTTACGATTTCACTGCGCAAACGCAAAATCTCGTCTCACTTTCCTCTTCGGGGAGTTTGCGTACCACCTTCATTAAGAACCTCAGTTCATCTTTAGAACGAAAACAGACAAAATACAATATAAAACTTCAAAACCTGCAAATGAATTTTTTATAAACATTTGTACAAACAATTTGTAAGTTAGAATTAGCCTGGGGACATTAAACAATACAACGGCAGACCAATAACCCAAATCCGTTTCGAACCGGGTACCTTCCAGATACAAGGCTATGCAGTTTCCACCACAGAAATTGCTCGGTTTGGCGTGATTGTGAAATCCAACTAAAATCTCAGTCGAAGTTTAAAATAAGTGACTTATATAATCCAAACAACTGAATAATGCAATGTTCCCTCAAAAATCTGGCAGTTCAGCAGACCACATAAGGATATAATAACATAGGCCATTCGAATCCAGCTCACGGATGAAAAAATATGCCCTTTATGTGGGGCGACAGAAAGCGAGATTCACATACTATTAAAGTGTACGGAAACCGGGAGGTGGAGGGAACAGCTCCTGAGGAACAAGTGGTTCACCGTTGGTGAAGAGTTGGCCTTCAAGAAAATTTTAAGCACTACGAATGACACGGAGGTCAGGGATGTAGGGAATTTTCTGTACAAAGTAAGATGTAAAAGACAGGTCAAAATTAGGAATTTAGAACTGCCACTGGGGTAGAAGGCACGAGAACAATACGAAAGAGTTATGTAAATAGTATTAGGGATTAAGGAATAGTCATGTAGAGTAGCATTAGTGAATAGTTGTAGTAAGCAGTAGTGCTAATAGTGCTACGTATGTAAGGACTGTGGCCGTGAAAACCTGGTGTTAGGCGACCACAGATCTCTGTATATAGTTCTAAACCAAATATATTATTATTATTATTATTAAAAAACATCCCTAAACGCCATTTCTTTAAAATGTATTTTAATGCTGTCGTGTCATTACTTAAAATAACAATGCCACAAAAATTAAAATAGGTTCTTTAATTGTGGGCGAAGCTCTGTGTAAGGTTCGGTCTGAGAGACCTCTTCACAGCACACTTACCGTGTTAAATAACACATTCTCTTCGAGCCAACCGCTTTTGTCGCGAAAGTCAATTAAAAAAGACCTTAATAAGAATATCCGTCATGAAAGTAATGTTAAATATCTGATGCGTGAAATTATTATTCACCCTCTGTTAACCTCAGAGAATGAAACTATTAAAAAAGCACTTACAGGCTATGTTCCAATTTTATGCATTAAGTATGCCGTTAGCAAGCTTCGTCAAATTTATATCTGAACTGTGCAAATAACACGTTTTATTAAAACTCCCCGGCCAACGTAATATAAAAATCTCAAGTAAACATTTACTTTATTGCTATTTATGGCTCGTAAAATTTGGCAATTTTATTTTTATGCAACAGTCATATCTCCACGATTATGCGGCAGATAGAAACCATATTAACAACGGAATGGGAGGGTCCCGGAGTGTCAAATTCATCAGCATTCACACGTGTTTATTCGACACTTAACCTCGTATAAATTATAAATGCGCTGCGGGGGTTAATCGTTAATGAACATTTTTCCCCTGAGCAAATAATTCAGACAAATCAGATATAAAATTCGATAACATCGCCCTGATAATGGAGGCAATAAGCGCCTCTGAAACGTAGATCAACTACGAGAGTAGACAGAGCAGTTTCCACAAAACTGTCATCTTCTTAATTCCATAACAATTTAGGACGTCTTAATCCTTCTTCTTCAAGTCGAATGCAAGGTAATCTTCTACCCGGATAGCAGAGGACAATGATTCTAGATGGCTTTACACACTTCTTGGCAAGATATATAATCGGATCAGGGGTCTTAGTTACCTTATATTAGAGTTTCTTCATGAACCTGAGCTGATTAATTTTAATAACAAAGGACTTCTACAGATTCTGAAACGCGGTTATGAGAGACTTTGTGTTTCTTGGTGCTCTCAGTTCCATCCAGCAACGCCGGACGTCCGTAACGGCAAAGTGACGGAGGAGGAGACGGCCAGTTGCGACGCGACGCCCGACAACAAGGACAGCGATGACGACTCCGCGGTGAGTCCGCACGTCCATCAATGCCAGGAACAGTCAACCCCTTGCAACTTGCCCAATACTGTGCGCCCCATATTAACGTGGCGTTGTGAACATCTACACGTGGTTGACTCGACAATACACCCTAATTATATTAATATTATTCTTCATATTTCACTAAATATGTCTTCTGGTCTGTTAAAATTCTGAAGTAATTAGAAAATTATGAATAATCATATACTTGGTAAACCACTGTTAACCATCAATTAAACAAAGGGAAACGATATATCGATGTAATAGTAACAGCCTAGTCGTTTTGAAATTAATATCTTCTGGACCAATCCCTTAAAATTATCAATTCTGTTTGACAGCTCGACCCCACCGACTTCCTAAATCCATCAAGTTGTTAGATACAGTGTTATAGCTGGGATCAATACTATGATTTACTAGTATGAGGCATGTACATCGTAAAATTAGTATTTCTGTATCCAGTGCGCAAGCCCAGTGGATGACAGTCATGTACTGAGTAACGGACGAGCCCGAGAAGACTCAGCGGACTTCAAAAAGCGTCTAAGGAAGGAACTTGTGAACAGAGATGGACACAGGTAAGGCATCCGAGCACGAAAACAAAAAAGGAATGGCTAGTGATAGGTCCAATAGTTTGGACACTCACAAAACGAATATATCACGATGCTCCACCCTTACGTTTTATAAATTTGGAGTTTTAAACCGAATCCCACGGCCAGTGCTCTGTACAGCCTCGCTTTTATGTGTTATTGTTACTGTTTACTCATGCTGTATCTTCGTATCTGGTGAATCGTATTCTGTGTGTCAAAACAAATATGGAATAATCACCACAAAACACCAAACTTGTCGGTACATGCGAATAACTGAGGCGTCTCTTAGTTCAACACGTCTTACCTACAGGGCCCTACACTGGAAATCGGATTTGTTTTATTCCAGTATCTGTTTATATACCCATGTCATCATAGTATCATAAATTACTGGCACGTTTAACAACAAAGCCGAAATAGCCCTCTAGTTGTTAATCGTTGAGAAACAGGCAATGAATTAATGGATGAATCAAGGTATGATACAAAAATGATAAATAATAAACCAATATAATCCTGGACTTTTAATTTTACAGTCACTTGCAATGTGGGAATTATCTACCTGCAGAAAAAAAAATCTTGCAGCAAATTCAGAGACTAATATTAGTAACGACAAAAATTCGAGGAAGTTAATACAGAATCCCGTATTTTATTTTCCACCCCAACTTAAACCTTCAGCTACCACGAAACGCCAAGGGAAATAAAATGCCACTATAAAAATGCTTCTCATGTAGCTAATAGCAACAGAAGCATTCCATCCCGTCATCTTCCTTCCTATACACGATAATACACTTCATTCCGTTCCCTGCGTATCCCCGGGGAGTACGGTGGTACTCAAGGATTGACCGGGGTGCCACTTGGACGCTAAAACCACCCACAGATGAGAAAAATAACGCCTACGAGTCATCTACAGGAATCAAATACGATCACATTTTTCTTAAAAATTCAAGGTAGATTACAACTGAGCAAAACCGTGTAATTGTCTTTAAGGCGAATTTCATCATAGTAACTACTACAGGAATATTTACTTTGATTTTATAGTTTGTAACTGTACTATGAGCGTGACCAAAGAACAGATAAGAGAATCAAATTAACACGGAGAAAAAGAAATAAGTAATGAATAATGAGAGACGGTGAGAGAGGAAACATTTACGACAGAATGAAAAAAGAAAAAAAGAGATGACAGAAGGACCAAGAATGCAAGAAATACGTGCAATATCCAGTGATTTAATAGGATTTTAGGTTCCCACGGTGGTGAGTAAGAACATGTCTGTCTTCTGGGTTGTAACGCCATGCAGTCTGGTAAATGTTTACCATCGCTTCTGTGATCCTTGCTGCGTCCGTCGCCCTGAAAGTACCTCTAAAACGTAGGTAAAATTCTACTAGATTACACGGTGTCATAACCCAGAAGACAGCCATCTTAGCCCCTGGTTATTTTAATGAACTTTATTTATCATTTCTGGCATTAAATTTGCCACTGCACGGCTGTCCTTGAAAGTACAGTTCTTAATTCGTATTCGGAAGACCGGCTTGCCGGGTTCGATTTTCTATCTTGTGATCGGATATCCAAAGTGTGGAGAAAGGGGTTGTTGGTTTTCCTCAGATCATCTAGAAAATTATAAGACTACCTTAAAATAGGCTGTCACTGCCAAATCAACTTCTCATTAGGTGCTACTGGCTTCTAAACTAAGCAGTTGAGAAAAGCTCGTTAAATCAATAGACAGGACTGGAATGATGGAATTAATTGATTTTAGACCTAATCTGAAACAAGTCATCATCTATGTCCTATATTTGAGTCTATGCATTCATTTGTGATTTGACTGTTATGTTTACATTTGTGATAATGCCACAATTCAATTTGTTAATCAAACACTATTTGTTTGCAGGGACCTGATGAACCACACTACGTTCTTCACTTTGTCGTTCAAAGACAGGGAAACAGAACGCGAATATAACTTGCACAAGGAATCGTTTTCTAGTATCTCTGTGATGGGTTGTCCTCTGGTACTCCTCATTACATCAGCCGCACAATTTGTCGTGTTGCCTAGGTGAGTCTCTCTTCATTCTCCCCTCCCACCGGAGGACATATGGGCTCTAAAAATAACCCACAAAATACAGACGTACGCTAAGAATGTTCAAAATTCATAAAAGAACTATTGTTTATGCCGAATTTCGTGTGACCGGCCATTCTATAACGACGAACGGCATTACAGATTTGTTATAGTCTTTCTTCGACACTGAAATTTGTACTCAATATGAACACCAATAGGTGGTTGAATAATGACCCTCTATGTTACAGGGATCTGATGAACATCCTGTCGTTCACAGTCGGTTTTCTACTCCTAGTTATTCTATCGGCAATGATTGTGGCTGAGTTTTTCCCTTCGGTAAGTTTACAAGATCGGGATATCACATTTACGATATCCTATTTGCATATGAAAGTTTCTAAAGAGTATTGAGCAGAATATAAATAAATTACGAATAAACACTTTAAAAGAACAACGGGGGGGAGCAGAATATAAATAAATTACGAATAAATACTTTAAAAGAACAACAGGGGTATGTCCTGTACAGACTGTTCAATTTAAAAAGCAACCTTACCAACAGAATTTCCTTCCATCCGGTGTTTTGTTGATGTTGTCATCACAATAATTTATTAATTACTTCACATCAACTGGAAAATTAGTATATTGTTGGGGGATAAAATTGTGTTGGAGAGGTTATTGTCGTATTTAAAATGCATCCACACATTTACGAATAGTTACCGACCATTCAAATTATGTATTTTAATATTTTATATTTATTCCAGTCATTCCCTCGACCTATGGTGCGTTGCAGTGAGGCTCTGAACAATTCCTTGTGGACAAGGAGGGTCATTGGTGTCGTTGTAATTGCGCTCCTAGGGGTTACCAATATTGTGGATATGGTAAGAATATGAAGATCTGAGGTTCTCACAACAGTGCAGATGTCGATTGTGATCATCTCGGTTGTGACGCCGTGTAGCCTGGCAGGTGTTAACAGGGTTTCCGATTATCGCATCGCCTTAATATTCAGGGCTGAACCACCCGGAAGACTATTTGGCATCACAACTCAGATCAGCACAATCTACATGGTAAGAATTCACAGGAACACCTTGTGCTATATACTTCCAGTATTCAGACAGCCTACAATGAAAAATGCTGCATATATTTCTATAATCATTCAGTTATAAATTCTTAGGTGCAGATAAGATTGATGGGCCATAAATTATTTAAACATGCTGTTTCAACTACACGCATTAGTCTGTAGGCTATAGCTTAAAATGACGTCGACATGATAATGAATTGTGAGTAATTAAGTATTCTGAACGAAACTGTAGTGACCTATTCGATGTAAATAACAGTATTTATCAGGGAAGACCGAAAAGGAACTACGAAAAGTGTTGTGTTTCGTAGAGAGAGAGTTCTAATGTGTTCACAATTTTTTTGGAGAACTGATACTACTGTTCAGATAAGTTACAAAAGTTTCATCACACAGTGCAGTTGCCATCTTCAGGGTGGTTTACCCTAAACATGGTAACGGGAAGAGTAAAACCTTCAAAACGTGACGCAGACTCATCCTTGAAAGACCAAGTTATGAATTAAACGCACTAATCTCTCAAGGCAAAGAAAGACCAAGCAACCAGATTTAAAACACCCACTTTAATATCCTTAAGCCCACGTATTTACCATTCATGATCATCTTTCCATATAATTCGTGCCATACAGTCCGAACAGTTGGAACAGCATCGTTGAATAATATGAGAATAACTGTCTGAGAGATGCAGTCCATTTCTGTTCCCATTAAAGTCATTCTGATACACTTGAATCTGCGTCTGATAACAGTCTCTTTGCACTTGTCAACACCAGGTGTCTTGCACGGTCCCTTCGTCTCCTAGCAACTACACCACGACGACAGAGGACCTGGGCAGCGTGTGCTTGTATCCCTCGTACTTCTCGTATTTCTGCGTCCTGGTACTGATCGCGGCGTCCCTGCCCGCTCAAGTGTCCCATCTCGTGAAGGCCGGTCTGTTGTTCCTAATTGCAACAGCTCACTGCTGCATGAATGTCTTCGCGATCGGCCCGGCACTTGACTGCGAGGAGGCGACCAATCACAGAGACTGGGGAAAGTGGGTAATCCTTCCTTTGCATATTGCTGACTCAACAAAATATGTTTTCATCATGGTTAAAAATCAATAATTACACCAGAATCCATGTGTAAATGAAAGTGTTACATGACGAACCGTAATTGAATTAATTATAAAATCTCTCCCACACTCCAACAACAGACATTTAAGAGAAAAAGTGAGAGAGATACTTCAGTAAAAAGACTAGATGCATTATTTGATTAGTTTATACGTCTCATAAAATGTTATTTTTTGAGGCCAAAACATTTAAACATCACCCGTAACTGAATTAAAACACTCACATACGGCGTTCTTCCCCATTCTCAAATTTCTGAAAATCTTTCTTCATGCCGTTTCAGCATTGCGCCTGGAAAGTATGCATTATGTGGTCTCCTCCTGGCTGTTACTATAGCCCTGGCATTCCTTGCCCGCCATGTAAGTATTTTAAGAAGTTCTAACTAACTAACTAACTAACTAGATGGCCTACCGAACCCGAAGGTTCATCACCGAATTAACCAAAGCCCTCCACCAGACCCCGTCTTTAAGAAGTTCTAAGGAAATAATAAATGGCCAAGTACATATAATCTGAGAGGTCAATACCATGAAAACTACAGTGACCTATTATCCAATCCTGAGAAAACGTTCTAAAGACTCCAATTCCCACCTAAAATTCATTTTAATATTATTACAGTATTTTCATTATATTTCTAGGAAGTCCTCAATTCTATTGAAAACGGCATCACTTGTGGATTAATTTGGAGTCATTTCAGGAAACGTCCAAACATTACGAGTGATTTATTCGTTATAATTTCTTAAATTTAAACCTACCAGATCTACTTTTTTTAAAACAAATACATATAATTCATGGAATAAAGGGTTAAGACAGAGAAGTGAAATGTACTGACATGTAAACACCACACCCACATAATGGTACTTGCGGGTATGTGCTACATTATTAACTTTAACTGACGTCTATCCCTGAGAGCATGAGGATCCTACGGCTATATGTAAATATAATATTAAAAAGGTATGTTAAAACACTAGAGTTCGGTGGTGGAAACTGGGTTAAACTGGTTCTAAATAAAGTTCAAAGAAGAGGGTTCATGAATTTTCAGGACTGTTAAAAGCAGTGGAATTTTGTGACAATTTTTACAAGGAAGATCCTACACCAGACAGAGTTCATATAAGGGCACGTCTTTCTTGCTGTTACCAGTTAGAGAAAGCATCCCGAGTGCTGTTCCTATGGAAGACGGAAGTGGAGGATCAGCGGGAGAGAGCGTCTGACATCAGACGCCGCAACGAGGCCCTAGTGTATAACATCCTGCCACCGCACGTTGCAGCTCATTTTATGGGCAGTCGCAAGAGACAGCATGAAGAACTGTACAGTCAGAGCTATGCTGAAGTCGGGGTTCTGTTTGCCTCAATGCCTAACTTCTCAGGTAATCAATGACCCGCACTTAATTCTCCCAAACTACGCCTGGAGGAATGGTGTTTTCACAAGTGTCAGAATCATGCAAGCATGTGCTAAAGAAATTTAAATAACAATATAAGTCTTGATAGAAATACAGTAAAATCAACATACTCTTGTCATTGATAATTTCTAAGACGATTTCTCGTATCATTCTCATTCTTATGAAACTGCACAATGAGAGGGTTCACAACTCACACTCTTCAACAAATATTATTAATGTCATCAAAGTGAGGAAGAGGAGATGAACACAGAAAATAGACAAGGTAAAGAGATGACAATCTGAGGGAAATTTAAGTCTGAAAACCTGAAGGGCACTTGGAAACACGATAATGGTGTTTGGGTTCCATGTAAGGTAATTCTTAACTAGTCAAGTACCTATCAATTTCATGGAGCTAGCCTTATTACATTTATACCACATGATACACACTTTCCAGAAGATACTTTCTTACCCTTAGTTTTGGTAGCTGGCAACCAAACTTCTTCATACTTATCACCGAATAGCTGCTCTCAAATTAACAAGTTTACATTTCATTGTATGGAAGAACTCGAGCTGAAACCCATTTTACTTTCACGTTTCCGGACAAAAACAAACTTGTAATCTAATTATACAGACCTAAACTGAACCCAAAATTATGGATCAGACCTCTCCGCTAACAAAACTGGATATGTGTGCAGTAAGTTGACTGATCACTTACAAAGTTCGTTCTTTTGTTACAGACTTTTATTCAGAGGAGACAGTGAACAATCAAGGCCTGGAATGTTTACGATTTCTGAATGAAGTCATCTCCGATTTTGATGCTGTATGTAAACAAAAGTCATATCTTCTTAAAATCACTAAAAATAATATAAATGCCATACTTATAACATAATTAAAGTAACTAAATTATACTTAATTTTACGAGGATTCACATCTGTATTCCTACTGTGTACATGACTCTTTCAACTAATCAGTACTCAAAAGTATCTCTGTTGAGGTGGTTTGTACTCCTGCTTCGTATACAGAGTATCTCTTATTTTGTTCTAAGCCCTGACTACAGTAAAAGCAGCGACTTATGCCTGCCCAGATTAGCCCATTTTTTCCCCTTGTGTGTTACAGTTACTGGAACTACCTCAGTTTCAGGATATAATCAAGATTAAAACCATAGGGTCTACATACATGGCTGCAAGTGGACTCAACCCATCTCGACAGGTCAAGGTAAACATTCAAATCTGGAATGCATTCATTTTGCATTCTGGCATATTTCCTCTAACACATAATACTTGTTGATCTTCGATGGTGTTCATATTTATTTATTTATTTCTGATTGTTGAAAGATACACTGCAGATCGTATAGAGTCAAGTGATAAAACGACTAATGAATTAAGAATTAAACAGTTGTAGAAGGAACAATATATGGGAGAAGGCCAGTGGGAAGACCTAAAGGTAGATGGCTGGATGCAGTGACGACTGACTCCAGAAATCTCCTTGGAACAGCAGCTTGGAGAAGGATAGCGTTGGATAGAGAGAATTGGAGGAAGAAGATAGAGGAGGCTAGGGCTCGATTTTGGGCTGTTACGCCATGGTAGTAGTAGTAGAAGGATGTAATCATGAACTAATTTGGTACTATCCTGGCATTTTCTGGAAAGCAATTTTAAAAAAGAACTAGAGAAATCTCAGTTAGTATAGCTCCTCTCCAATCTGAGATTTGAACCCGTAACCTCCTGAATACCCTTAATAATGAGAAACGCTTAAATATTCTTGTCTCCTCCTGTTTCAGCCTGATGATCCCATAAAAGTTCGTTGGTCTCATCTTGCACTCCTAGTGGAATTTGCTCTGGAACTCAAGAAGGCACTCCAAGGCATAAATGAGCAGAGCTTCAACCATTTCGTGCTCAAAATGGGTTAGAATGAAGATTAGTTTTAATTTTAACCTCATAGCCTCATTTTTACGCCCAACTTCTAGGATTTTTAAAAACACAATAAAATATCAAGCCAGCAGTCACTAAGCTCTCAAAATACGACACTCATGTAGCTCACATAAGAAATTCTAAAATACTACATTGAACACTAGACTGAAATCATGAATCAAGGAAGAAGACAGGTATGATGTTTATATCCGACAATAAAAGGAAATTGTTGCAAAATTTATGAAATATAACCTCTTTTTTCTAGATATTTTGTTGCTAATGAACTGAAATCATGAATCAAGGAAGAAGACTGACAGTATTTTTATCTGACAATAAAAGAAAATTATTTCAAAATTTAAGAAATATAACCTCTTTTTTCTAGATACTTTGTTACTAATGAATAAGTGAACGATAATATACTAGCCGTACAATGTAATTAACTTTGTTTCAGGAATAAACCATGGACCAATCACAGCCGGTGTGATCGGTGCACGAAAACCACACTACGATATCTGGGGCAACTCTGTCAATGTAGCATCACGAATGGAAAGCACCGGGAAGGCAGGATGCATACAGGTCCATACCATTACACTTCTCTATTCTCTTACCTACTTTGAATTACGCTGAAGTGGGAAAAATATTATTTTATATAAATAATATCATTACCAAATGGAATGTAATGTACATACAACAATCCGGTCCTCTCCTCAAATTTAATATTTCTTCCACCTCATTATGATTTACCTAAATTCATTCAAGATATACCATAGTTAAAACTCAAATACAAATTCTTAAATCAGTTCATTTCCCTTTGTAAATAAGATTCAAGCAGCGAGTTATTGTGTTATGAACTTCTTTTACACGGTGGTCTAAATAACTTACTAGTCCGATCTCCCTCTCTTATTTCTAGGCAAGTGAATTTGTGCCATGGTTAGTCAAAACTAATTAAACGACGATCTACCGACTATCTTTGTGAACGTGACCGTTTAAAAAATGTAAAATAATTTGAATTACGCTGAAGTGGGAAAAATATTATTTTATATAAATAATATCATTACCAAATGGAATGTAATGTACATACAACAATCCGGTCCTCTCCTCAAATTTAATATTTCTTCCACCTCATTATGATTTACCTAAATTCATTCAAGATATACCATAGTTAAAACTCAAACACAAATTCTTAAATCAGTTCATTTCCCTTTGTAAATAAGATTCAAGCAGCGAGTTATTGTGTTATGAACTTCTTTTACACGGTGGTCTAAATAACTTATTAGTCCAATCTCCCTCTCTTATTTCTAGCCAAGTGAATTTGTGCCATGGTTAGTCACAACTAATTAAGCGACGATCTACCGAACGTGGCCGTTTCAAAAATGTAAAATAATTGGAAGCTTGCTGGGCCCATAACCCAGAGGTCCGTGGATCGTAACCACGCTCTGCTACCATCTTCTATGTGCTCAAAACAAATAGTGAACAAAGCCGAAACTACAATTTCCATATAATAATTCATTCACCGTCGATACACAAACTTAAAATGTTGTTAAAATTTACTTAAAATTACATAAAATTACAACATTTTTTAGAATTAGATCTTGATACATTTCACATTTGACGACATGTTTCGGTGTATTACACCATCATCGGGTCAATCAATTTTAAAACAGTTTTTAAATTGATTGACCTGATGATGGTGTAATACACCGAAACATGTCGTCAAATGTGAAATGTATCAAGATCTAATTCTAAAAAATGTTGTAATTTTATGTAATTTTAAGTAAATTTTAACAACATTTTAAGTTTGTGTATCGACGGTGAATGAATTATTATATTGATTAAACACAAACATGACGCAGTTAAGATATAAATTACAATTTCCATGTAGTATGTGAGGCGAAAGCCTGCATAGAAGTGGTCTTCAAAGTTGCAGGGGAACAGTCCCAAACAGTGGACTCAATGTTACATTTTAGAGTACAGAAACGTTTATTAAAGAAATGCATCAAACAGTGAATCGTAAATGTATTCTATGTCTCCAGGTAACTGATGAAACTACTGAAATTCTCAAGCATTTTGGATACATTTTTGAACAGCGTGGATTGGTCTCAGTGAAGGGAAAAGGACAGCTTATGACGTACTATCTCATTGGTAAAGGATCTAATCCGGAATCAACCTTAAGGAGCAAAGAAGAAACCAAAAATAACCCTGAAACTAACCTGAAATTAAATGAAGACTTCAAAATCAATCTCGAAACAAATGAAGATTTTTCTAACAGCCCAGAACATGAAATTATTCCAGTACAACACAGTTCTGGAGGTAACCTGAACTGGGTGGAAGAATCTGAACAGCGGAACCCCGGACACAACCTAGACCTGTCTGATGATCCCAAACACCAGCTGTCGTCTGAAGACACATCACCGCTAATACTAAGTTCCACTGCTGTCATCTCTGGGTCAGGTGAAACGCATCTACTACAGAAATCAGACGTAGATGACTGAAAAGTTGTTAGTTACTTTAAAAGAAAGTTATGTAGCAGTGGCGCTGATGCATACAGGGTAAATAAACTACAGAAATTTTCAACCCAGTAATTTTTGGGATAACAGAGTTTCAACTAAAAGACACCACCTTATAAATGTGAATTAAGAGGACGCATTTATCTATGTTTCCTTGGGCGACAATCGTGTGGGACCATGTTAAGCTAAGGAACATATTTGTAACAATAAATATATATTTATGGGAGAATTCTGGTGAAATAAATATGTGCAAAGGCCTCCTCTGTGTCAACATGAAAAACATTTCACAGAAAAACATAAATAGAAAATTCTTTCTTTAGCATTAAAATTATTAATTTATGAAATGTGAACACGCACGTTTCTTGGTAGTATCTTGAAAATATGAAAGTGGTACAGTTTGTCATAACGAGAGGAGGTTTCGTTTCAACTGTGGGTTTTCAAAGCAATGCGTTTTTAATTTATTGTAGTCGTAGATTCAGCGACTGTTACTAGATGTACAGTGAAATGCAGAAGCCTATAAGCCTAAAAATCGTGTAAATAACTGGAACAATCTGTTACGTCATAGTAAATGTTTTGAAGTGTTAAAAATAATGTATATGTAAATCCACTGTGCTTTGATCACTTATCTGTTAGGCCTATAAATCGGTTGAGAAATGAATGTGAGTGAAGCCCATTGACAGAACAGAGATTATACAATTGATAAGAGGAAATGAGGTCTTCAGCGTCAATGATCAGTACATCTGATCTGAATCATTATTAGTGCTAAACCCACGTGATGCAGGGAAAATTACACTTCGGGAATATATCCATTATCTAATATAAAGTTGTACTTTCTGGTATGAATTTTTGTAATTTATTTTCTTCCAAGCAATGGTGATGAAATTTTACAGTAAAATACAGATTCTAAATTTCTTCTTTTACTAAACTATGTCCTGCTATGAAGCACGTATGCCACGTTCAGTATCATACTATAAAGTCTACTAGCAAATAAAATAAATGTTAGTATGAATTCAATAATTTTAAATTTAATTACAGTTTTCAGGAGGTTCAACAAAATAAATGCCATTCATTTATCTGTATATTACAATTTTTTTAAAAAAATATTTAATTATCAAGTTAAATATGTTTGTAATTCTTATACCGAAGATATGTAAAAAAAGAGTAAGCAATGTATGGTCTGTGACAGAACAATTATTATACAACAAAAGTTTTCACAAGAATTTAAATGCAATTTCAAAATTTCTTTAAGATCTTACGTGCAGCATTTGCATCCTTCCTGACACGAAATTCTCTAATAAATAACCTCTAAATTAATTTCTTAAATTGAAAGCAATGCTACGGTTCTGTAGAATATGATGTAGTACATAATGCATTTAAAATACTAGAACAGACCTAAGAATTTAGTTTTATGTTCAGTAATTTGTTGAGTATATGAATGGACCTGAACCCTTTTGCCGCAGGCATGTCCCGAATAGAAGTCTGTGTTCTCCGACTTCAACAAATACGACATTACTGTACATTGTGAACATAGATAAATGATATGTAAAAATGTCTGTTAAGGTAGTGAATGTTTTGTATATAACTGTACTGCTGTTAGAGCATGTGAATGTCTAGAAGTGTAGGACAGGCACGTGTGTAGAGAGATGTTCACTCTATAAATATCTGCGGATAACATTGAGCAGGTTATTTTCAAACCGAAAAATGTGAAGGAGAGTTTTTGGTCATTTGATTAAAATTTATATATTCCTAATTCAGAGAATCTCCAAGACATAAACATACTACAAGTAAATTTATAAATATTTTAATTCATAACAGTATGGAAATTACGGTACTTGTGGGTTATCGGAACACATCGCTTTAAAAATAGGTTAGGTTAGGTTAAGTTAGTTCTCATTTATCCACACACATTAACCTAACCTAACCTAACAGAACCTAACCTAACATAACCTAACCCATCCCAACCTAACTTAACTTAACCTAACATAACCTAACCTAACCTAACCTAACCTAACCCAACCCAACCTAACATAACCTAACCTATTCTTAAAGAGATGTATCCCGATAACCCACAAGTACCGAAATGACTTTGGATGTATTTTGTTAATAATGGCGGACGGCACTGAGAAGCAATAAAACGAATGTCATCAAATTAAAATACTGCAACTTACCTGACAGAAAGTTTGCATTTTGTAAATATGCCAAATATTCTTCAATTTCTAATGGAAATTACTGAAGATTAACGCATTATAATTTTAATATACATTCACATTATCAAACAATTTTTAATAATGAGAAAAATACGCTTTCACCTTAAATAATTCTGAACCTAAAAATCTCTTCTTCACATGCCTTTCACATCACGAACAGGTGTGGATACAGTGTAAGTTTGTATGATTTCATGTAATAAAACAATCTGGGTCCCAAACAAAAATAAAGTAATAAAATATTCTTGCATGTAAATCTGAATTAAATTTAAACTTGTGAAACGATTACTAGCTTACAAAACCAAACGAGTGACGACGCAAATATCACTTGCAATACTGATGCAAAAAATAATCCGGAAGACAACTGTAATTCAGAGTACAGGAATGTGAAGTCAATATTCTAAACAATGCAACAAACAAATAAAACATTGTACTTAAAACAATAATTGAAAAAGTGATGGCACATGTATTAAGCTTTACTTCATGTTCTAAATTTGTCCACGTCTGAAATACGACACACCCTACTACAGTAAGAACGAGTACAACCAAAATATTTTCTGTAAGATAAAGAGTTGAATGACTGATAACAAATACAGATCTTTACTGTATGCTGAACTAACACGGTGTTTCATCTTATTTAATAAAAAACAACAACAAACAGTTAACTCCTGATTATCCTGGCTAATGACGGACAGAAAACGTCATTAAACTGCAGTGAAGGTAACAGGCCTTGGTTCAATTCCACTAGTTCAAAAAGTAAATCCTCGGTGTACAATAACTTAAAATAGAGTTCTATGTAATTTATAGCACTGCAAACAACACATATTAAGTACTGTAATTATAACTGCTTACCACTTGTACATATAACAGACTTATCTGTTCTTGAATTATTTAATTACGTTCTTGCAACTATACTGACTATGAGAATAAGGCTTGTGGTAAAAAGGACATCATCTAACCACTTGATACTATTTTGAATTACTGTAGCAGAACCATTCGTAAACGGAACATTGGATTTATTGATTCAATAATCATAGCGAGATGTTTCCCTTACTTACAGTCATCGCCCTGATGACGGAGGCAGTATGACCTCTGAAACGTTGGTTAATATCGACCAGACTACACGTCGCAACAGCCCAGAAGACAGAAAGCTTCATCGCCCTGATGATGGAGGCAGTATGACCTCTGAAACGTCGCTTAACATCGACCAGACTCCACAGCGCAACAACCCAGAAGACAGAAAGCTTCATAAAAGTTCCTTGCTGGATTACGATCTTGTTTTCTTCTTTTAAGAATATGTAATGTCGTGGGACTAGGCTATATTAATGTATCGTCTTTATTTCATTAATGGAAGTTATCATTAGAATGCCTAGTGCAGCTGGGTCACTATATCGTACTCCCTTTTGCACAATTAAAACTTCCTTATATAGCTGCATCGGTTATCAAATCAAACTACGAGCTGAGTTTTATGCAAGGTTATTAGCTCTGAAACAAATCATCCTACTTTTAACAAAATTATTCACTGCGTTGAAAAGATATGCACCAAATACTTAATCAACTAAACTCCTGGAAAGAAGAAAAGGTAATATCTTTCACTGTACCTGTAATGTAGAATCTCCATGTTGTATTTCAGTATGGTCCTAGCGAAGAGAAATTTTTCGAGATATCCATTCTTTGATGCGAAACCTTACTTCACCCACAATAACACTAAATACCTTGCGTTATTACAATTTATAATTTAGAACTTCTTACATATTCTACACGTTAGTTCTAAGTATAAAGTATCATAAATCACTTCACACTTCGGCACACAAAGCACATGGCATACCTTTCTTTTACAACTAGGGTTGCAGATCACGTGGTGTCACGAACGGATGGCCTTCGTTTCATTGGATTAAACGGCCATCGTGCGTGAATCAGCCTTCTCAACTTACGACACGTGCAAAGAAACAGTAGAAAGCATTCTCATTCACCTGCCATCTATTAGAGATGTTTGAAAACTATCTCTAGTTGATACCAGTAGAACGATTTTTAAAGACTGATGTGTCAGTTGATGGGATACTTTGCTTCATTATTCTCTGCGTGTTTGTACGAACAAATGCACTTAGGAAGTTTCAGACGTCTTTATATTTGCATATGGTAAAACAGAAACATTTCTCTCAAAATGTGATTTCACACCATGAAAAATCTGCATCTACTCTTACAACAGTTGTAAACAGAAAAAATACATATATACACATATATAAATTATCTTCTTATTCCACCAAATTTGCTTTAACATAAATGGAACTTTAAAAAAAAAGCACTAAACAGTCTCTCTGATGCAACAAACTCCATAATCAGCAGGACAGATGGGAGGGTCCATGGTAGGTGGTAAAACGATCTGTAAAATTTCAATTGGGAAGATGTAGAAATAGGATGTAGTAACCTATTTTAAGGAACCATCACGAAATTTGCCTAAATCTGTTAATTTCTCTCTCCGAAACTAATGAACAGATTTTGATTAAATTTGGTATCGGGAAACTATATTTAGTTGTCTTGTTACACTACACATTTAATTCTATTAATAAAATAAAAAATTGAACTCCCCTGATAAGATTTTTATCATATCAACGTCAGCAATGTATGTAAAGAAACCGTATTTGGGAAATACGTGTAGACCTCTTAGAAAGTGGAGTTATCTTTAAACTCTTTCCAAGTTTGTTACTGAATCTTATAACTTCATTTACCTGTCACCTCCGGAAAAATTTCAGCAGCGTTTTACTGAAGGTCATGTAGAAATTGAATCACAGAAATGCTACTGAGGGTGGCCGAGTATCTAGTGACCTTAACTCCAAATCATCATCAGCAATTAGCATGATAACGGCGCACATGCGTACTTTGGGCAGTCAAAAAATTCGTATCATTTCCGAAATTCTTAAGTAAAACATGGTAACAGTGAGTGATGGCACAATCATTTAAAACTACGTACTCTAATTCTCTTCATGTAAATACCGTGATTATTTGAATAACAACACCGTTTCAACTTCAAAGGCTGTGAAATGCCGAATAATATGGGGTAATGATCATAAATGGTGAAGTGGTCGTGGCATATTTGAAAGTACTATACCGGAATTCGTGTGCAAAACCTAAGGAAAATCAGAAAACAAGTCAGGATAACCAATAATCATGGTGAGATTACAACAGCGTACCATCCTGATGCGAGCTCTGAACGTTATTGATACTCCATTCTGGTCTTTGTGAACGTCATTTCGACCCTCCATGCCAGCAGTCAGTTCCACGAATAAGAAAATGAAAATAAAACATGTTTAAAGAGAAGAAAGCATCTGGCGCTATGTAAACAGATGAAATGCTCGTTCCATTATCCCTGTAAGTAATAAAAACAAGGCATAAAACGATGAGGAGAAGATACATTTTATCTTTATTGTCAAGGTAATAAAATTGTGTTATACGTTCTGAACGTCTGTAAGTTACTTTATGCAACAACATATAAACATCCAACAGAACACTGTTTTTTTTAGAATGAAGACACAATTATCGTTATTAATGGTATACAAAAACAATACAGCATAACTTTTCACCAACACATTACAGTGCAATTAGTACATATATCTATTACGTACGTCACAAATACTGTAACCGAGGTTTTTAAATCCAAACTTTTATTTTAAGAAGCGTAAAATGAAGGAAGTAACACATTGGGAAAGTATATTAGTAATAAAAATCTTATCATAATAGGTTAATAATAGCAGTCACTCCACTAAAATATTTCCTTAGTTCTACGTGGCGTTTGCGAAAATATAGCATCTCGTCGGTTGAAGTAATATGCTTCTACATAGGCCATTAAATTTTTATAACTAATAAATCTCCCCAGTTATTCAGCACAATAAATTTTATATGATAAGCAATACGTTTCACGGGAAGACTTACATTCTGGATTGGATAGTTCATAGTTTTACTTCACTAAGACGATGTTTAAGTACGTGATTTCACGTTAAGTATTTCACACAGTAGTAACACTCTACTAGAAAGTCTGTAAACAGCGACAACTTTAATTACTAATTTAAAAAATGCTGGACCCAATAAGTTGACAACTCAAGGTTACTAATAAAAATTACGTAGGCCTACTGTTAAACAACCTATTTATTGTTGCAAATTATTTAGAAACTGGATCATTTAAGTACTGGAATAAAACATTTTTACATTTATTTTCATAAGACGAACTAAGTAAAATATTAATTAAGCTTTACGTGGTTTTGTAAAACTGTATGTCTTGTTTCTTACTCTGCATAAATAAACCGAACATTAAATATATATAAAACAGGGAAGTAAACAAAGTTCCATAAGAATCGTTGTTCTCATACGTCTTCGTCATTACAACGCAGAAAAATATTAAATGATTAATTATATACAAAAATTAATATAATCTACTTTCTCGCCCGCAAGAAAACATCACGTCTCAACTAACACCACGTCATTTGGAGTTTGAAGTAAAAGTATTTAAAGGGGACATTCAAAGACTTGATGGGCGATGTCCGAGAACAAAAGTTATAATTTATATGACATACACGATACAAAGCAATCTAAATCATTTCCACGACTTTATTTATGCTATATAAATTGATCTCGATCTTGTTTTCATAGTAAATAATTATACAAAAATTTATTAATCTTCCCTTAGCAATGCAATGAACAACTTAACTGAGACCTTTCTCCTGGACCCTAGAAATTATTCACTTTCTCTGATACTTTCTCTCGGTTGCTTCAGAATGGGCACATATCTGCAAAACACTGTAATACAACATACATTATAACTTTAAAGGAGTTCGACTAATTACAAGATACACCACGTAATTAATTATTACAGCAACTGAAATGTATACAAACGTGTGCCATGTGTTTATTACGCGATGTTAGGTGAGGTTTCGGAATCTCACGGCGGCGAATATGAAGAAGGCTGTCTTGTGGGATGCCGACGTTTCAGAAGAGCTTACTGCCTCCATCGTCAGGATGATAAACACCAGATAACATGGCGCAATATCAGAGAGGAAACTCACCTTTAAATTCACCGCCGTGAGAACCTTAAGTCTTACCAGATGTAAAGTAAAATTGCCAAATTTATCAATGAAACCGACCTCTAAAAAATTCCCTGAAAAGGAAATTGGCAGGTTATTCCGCAATTTTTAGCACAATGTATTTATAAATACAAATATGAATCTTGATTTGACATGAAGATTACCAGAACACTTCCCAAAAATGGGTGTTTTTTCTTCTATTGCTGAATGTTTATTTACTGGACTGACGTTGATTTTCTTTTCTTTGTTTTGATATCTTCTTAAAACAGGCATGGCGACGAGCAAAATCTCTCAAGATATTTTCTCGACATCTCTTCTTACGCACATTTAAGAGTGTCACTGTATCTTAACTACGATATTTAAATTAATATTTTAGGTGGGCAACACCCCAAGTAACGTAAAATAAAATACAATAATTCAGTACCGAAATAAAATAATTCCATCACAATTCGCCCTAAACCTTATCAGAGGCGAATTAATGAGAAATTTTTATAGGCCATGGTCTTGCATATTTTAATTTACCATATTTAAAATAGCAACTTCACACTTTCTTCCAAATATGTTTGCTATGATAAATAGCTTGCTGTGACGCGTCTGTGTTTCTGCCAGAAACTAAAGAGTTTCTGATTTAAAACTGATTCCTTCGTGTCGTAATTGATTACTTGGTCACCAATTATTTTGTGTCCAAAAAATAAATAACGTGATAATTTGAGGTCACCAACACGAACTTTTAAATTAAACGGAAGGTTATATACTTTTAGAATATTAAAGTATTTTATAAACGTAGCTGAAGAACAGCGTCATGGTACATGATCAGTTATTTTCAGACACAGCCTATTTAATTTCTATAAACCATTTTTCATTACGTAAAAGCTACACGAACAAGAAAACGGATGTTTCAACATTTTCCGTAGAATGAATTATAAGTAAGTCTTTGGCAAAAGTTTTGCGGTATACTGCATTTAAACTGGATAATTACCTTTTAGTTCAAATACAGCTGAAAATAAATTCTGGCCTGATTTTAATCGATTCACGAAAATTATCACCAGGTACATATATGCAACCCGCACACGAGATATGTAATGCGTAGTTTCGTACCTAATACTGAGGCATTACCGAACCCTGTCGGTCGCGATTGTTATTACCTGGTTCCATAGTGTTTCGCCAGCCACTGAATAAACATCCACACCATTGCACACAACTGCGTCCTGTCGACGAAACGCAATGTTGAGCATAGCACACAGTATTAACGATATACCCACGTCTCTCGCTAGGAGATAACATGGCCTTTTCGTCCAAATAATGAAGTGAAATTAGCAGGCAAAATATCGGCAGACTGATGTCCCCTTACTGGGGACAAGAGTAATCCTCACGTCCGCACAAACTTATACACCACGCCGAAAACGAGAACGCTAACGAGCATGAGCACTAACGCGGTGACCACCTTGGCGAAGGCGTTGAGTCCCGTGTCCGAAGGATCAAGGGGGCTAGAGTTGTGCTGATTGCTCCTACGTCTTTTTCCTGCCAAGCCACGGGCCAGAGCCGGGAAAGCTAGGCTCTGAGTAAACGTCAGTTTATGTAACGACTCAGACAGACTGTAAGGGCCCACACTACCTCGAGCCGCGGCTCTCAGGAGCGCGTATTCCAGGTCTAGGGCGTCCAGTAACGAATACCGCCCGGTCATCGTGGAACTTCTTCGTCGGTCTCGATCCTGTTGGAGCCATGGATCAGAGGTTCTAGAACCCATGGACGCAACCGCCGCTGCAACACTAGTCATTGACGAC